CCAGGCCCCGCGCAGGATCTCGTCGACCAGATACACTCGCTGATCCCCTCTCCATATCGAGGTGCCGAGTGTTTCCCGTATGATGGGCGGTCTCCGTTTACGCGACCGCGCACTGAGCGAAACGAAAAACCCGTCCGCTAGGCAGTCACACTCGGCCGAGGATCGTAAATCATGAACAGTCCACTGCTCGATACGCATCGCGACAAACAGGGTGAAAACTGTCGGAAAACAGGGACTGCCGCGATTGTTGGCGGCGCGACGTCGCCACCCCCGGAGCGATAATTTACGACTCCGACATAAGGAGTCCCGCGCGAATCGGGACGGTAACAAGTGGCGAGTACAGTGCGCGGGAAAGTGCTCGGGGTTTGATTTTCTCCGATGTCGGCTCTCCAATCCGACAATTCCATGACCACGTAGTCCAACGCGGAAAACCGTCGCTGACCGCGATCGCGACGAACGTTCCTCCTCCGTGGAGAGGACGATCAGTGGTGTCGGCCAGGACCAAGTATCGGTGTCGAGTCGGCTGATCATCATGTGTAGCAACGAGAGTCCGCCGCCAGCGAAGGAGCCGTTGGCCGTTGGCCTGGGTAATCCGATGGCCGGCTTTCTCCCGGGTCTCGAGCATTACCGGCTGCACCTGTATCATTACGCGATGGCGGAACGATTGCGGCTGGCGCAACAGATACAGCATCCCGGTGTAGCTCATCCTCCTTCGGGGGCGCCGACGGCTCACCTGGGTATAGGCCCGGGATTCCCGGCGCCACTGCCGTTGTATCCGGCGGCTGCCGCGGCGGCTGGTTACCCTGGTCGATTGGCACTGTCCATGGCACTGTTGCATCCGCATCACCAACGGATACCAGAGGAACCCAAACCCCAGCACAGTTATATTGGTTTGATCGCCATGGCGATACTGTCATCGCCGGAGAAGAAGCTCGTGCTGTCCGATATCTACCAGCATATCCTTGAGCACTACCCTTATTTCCGCACCCGTGGGCCTGGTTGGCGCAACTCTATCCGACACAATCTCTCGCTGAACGATTGCTTTGTTAAGTCTGGCAGGAGCGCTAATGGCAAGGGTCACTACTGGGCGATCCATCCGGCGAACCTGGAAGATTTTCGGCGCGGTGACTTCCGTCGGCGCAAAGCCCAGCGCAAAGTGCGCCGGCACATGGGCCTAGCGGTGGACGAGGAACCAGATAGTCCAAGTCCGCCGCCTTTACCCGCTACTCCACCGCCTCCGACGGCTCTTGGTCCTTCGGTAGCCTCGCAGCAGATATCCGCGTTGTGGGCGCCACATCATCATCACCATCAACAGCAGCAACAGCAGCAACAGCAACAACAAAGTCCCTTCCAGAGCCAATCCCTTCGACAATCGTCTTTCCAGCCGAGAAAACGACAGTTCGACGTGGCGTCCCTTTTGGCACCGGATGATCAGCAACAACAGATCGAGGCGGATGTTCTCGGGCCGGCCAAGTCGCGCAGGTACAGCTGCAGCGAGGATGAACTACACGATTTGCCGGAGGCCGATCAAGACGACGAGGACGTCGATGTCGATGTAGTCGCTGAAGCGAACGCCTTACCGTCGCCAAGCACGCCGCCGGCCAGTCCGGATATACCTAAGGTCGTGTCTCCGGCCGCTCATTGGAATCATCAGAGTGTACAAAGCGGCGGTCAACAGCAGCAACAACAGCAGCAGCAACAGCTATCGGCTGTACACCTTCATAATCATCTGCATGTCAGGAACTACTACATCCCGACTAACTCCGCCGGCGGGTCCAGCGTCTAATGGAGGGCTCGGAAGAAGCCGGTCGGTTAGCGCGACAGGTAGCTGCTCGTGTCTGTCAAGTGTCCACGACTCCCCTTTTTTTATCGCGTGATTTCGGAAACTTCTCGGATATTTCGCACAACATATTCCCAACGCATTGTTTTTAAAAGCAAAATTATTTGGCAGGAACAACTACTTTTTAACAAAAATCTCGTTAATCTAACGTTATTAAATAAACAAAGAGTTTTTTTTAATGAAAGAAGCTAGATAAATATCAGGGGAAAATGCGATATAAATGATAAACTCACGTTTCCAAAAATTAAGCTTTAACAGAATTCTAACTAAAAGTTGCAAAGGTATGCAACATTAAAAACTGAAACATTGTCGAATATAATTCGAATAGAACGTTTCATTTAATAAATAAATAAATAAGCGTTAACAAATTATAATGAACGATATGTTTTATTTGGTTTTAAATTGGAAAGAATTTGTCATTGTACAACGATACGCTAAAAGTGAAATATTCTATACGCAAAAATTTGAGAATGATAGAGACTTAAATAACAACGATTGAATCGTAGAGGGGAAACCATTTAGACAATTATAATGAAGAACTGTTACACTTTTTATTATTTTTATATTATTATTATTATATGTTGTTACATATATTTATGTGATTATATATTTATATACCATTTATATACATATATCTATATTAATTATCGAAGTTGTGCGCGTGTTACAAATGTGTTTAAGTTCATATCATTCTCAGCGCTCCATGTTATCAGAAATACCACCTAAGAAAGATACCGCCTGAAAGATTCATTAGACATTTCCAATTGTCCCTTGAAAGTTTATATTGTGTGTCCGGGTATGAATGTGGCGTGCGTGAAAAATACGCGTAAAGTGATCTCCGAAATGAACGGAAAACTGTTGGGTATTATGACTACATAAGAAACAGATTAATCTATTGCCGATTATGTTTCTGTAATCATATGAGGGTCACATTCTCGCGTGTTATTCGTGCCGTGCGTCCTGAGATAAAATCGGGACATAAAACGTTTTAAAGACATTTTTGCGAGAACCGTCTAAAAGATGTTAGTGTCCTGATTTTAGATTTTGTATTGTCTGGGTCCTTAAATTCGATTATTTTACTTTTGGTGGAAACTGCGCGAAGTCTTCCGATACATTTATAGTTTTGTCGGAACTTCAATGAGAAGAAACGAAAAAAATAATAAAAGGAGAATCGTGTCTTCTAAGATCACGAAATGAAGATCAAAATTTTAAGTAGAATTTTGAAAAATTTCTATCGAACTTTGAATGAAAATATTTAGGCAATATAAATGTTCAATAACGCCGTGAAAGACTTACAAAGATATCTCAGGAATGTTTTAATTTTTTACGTGTATTTTAAATTATAAATTTTTGTGTCGTTAAATTTAGATACGAAATTAAGTATCTCATTTTCCTCCTGATTAGTAAACGAAGATTCTCGTGTAATTAACGGCTAGCTTCTTGTCGACGGACAACCGACCTTTTTCATCGAGCACGAAGAATAATTCAAATTCTGCAATTCGAACGAAGCAAGCTCTGGCTATGCTCGAAGAACTTATACGTGTATTATATAGATAGATGTCTAAGAGAAAAAATTATGTATAAATTGGAGTTCGACGATGGAATCTATAAAAGCATATGACGATTATAAATCATCGTATGATCAGTAATTCAACGCGATCCGTTTATTTAAAAAATAAAACGTAAATATTATATATATACTTAAAGTTAATACGCTTATCTAATATACTACAGTAGAAGATCATAAGTTGAGTAAGAGAAAAAATATAAGACGGATCTTTTCAACGCCGACATCTCCCGATATGTAATTTGTTCCATTTTTTTAGATGAACGGCTCGCGTTAATCTTGAGAGATTCTACCGGCGAATTTAGGATTTTTTGTAAATATACGAAGACGCGGCCCGGATGCCTGGAAAAGGCAGCACAGAAACTGATGTACGCGGGGCATTACGTCAGACTGATTGCGATCTCCGCTTGTTTATAGTGTAATATAAAAGTCGTTTAGGGTTTAACATAGCGCATCCCCATTGTATAATCCACATTGGTAGAGACGGTAAAACGGAGATATATATTCTGTACAAACCCGAGTACTCCACGCCCACATCGGTCCACCACCCTTGTATGTATGTATGTATATGTATCGATGTATACGTACCTGTGCGTATAAAATTCAGATACGCGGATCCGGATGTGCGATCGAGACGATCGCGTTACCGATGTCGCACCGATGAGAAACGCAAGACCATTTTTTCACAGTTACCTCGTAAGCATACGCCGGCGGCCTCTCTCTGTTACTGTCTTGATGCAACTGAACTTTAATAAAGTTTCTGTTCCCACGAATATCTATCCGATCTTTTTGCTAATTGACCTAACTCCTTCAAGAAAGAGAATGAAAATAATAATTGCATGAAGTGCATTTTTATCGAGATAAAGAAGCACCACGCATTATTACGCGGTATAATGGCTTCACCTGTTCGTCGAATAAGCTTAAATTAATTGTTTTTTGTGTTATTGAAAAGTCAGATATAAGCATGTCTTTTTATAATTGATTTAATTTATTGTTCTAGCAGTTCTATCGGGCTAATTTCTCTTTCGGCAATTCTTCTTCAAAATTTTTTATCTGAGACTTACATAATTCTTATTTTTTTTATAAATAATGTTTATATTTATATTCGTTCTTTGACTTCTTATTTTTATATTTTTATATCCTTATTTTTTCATCTCTATATTCCTTAATTTTGGAAAGATCTTCCGCTGAATTTTCCTCAAATCTGATTGATGATAATTATCGAGGAAGAATCCTTTTGATTTGTAGTATTTGTATGTTTTTTCTTCAGAAAAATGATACTCGAGTTGACAGAAATTCCGCATTTACGCGCCGTTAGGCGACGCGCAGAGGGTATCTGAGAAATCTGTTTGTCGTGATGACCAATGGTCAGACTTGGCTATTAGTTAATAATGTACATAAGTCACAAGATAAGCGTTTGTTGTACGCTGACCGCTTGCGAAAAAAAAATTTGTGTCCATTCCCGTGAAAAGATGAGTGCATTCCTCGCATCCATTATCGTGATTGCGCTATTAACTAATCACGAAAGACGCGATTAACCAGGAAATAAATTAATTTATCAGAGTGATAATTAAGAGGCTCGGAAAAAAGATAAAGAAACGTAACACGTGGGTAATATACTGATCGATAATTTTCCTGATGTTGACATTAATACGTAACAATACGCAGCGATGTTCTATTACATAAGATTTTTCTCAAATAATTACACATCAGTTAGATATCACTATTGCCGCAAACTTCCCATTTAGAAACATGCGCTTAAGAGGAAAGTATATAGAATATTCCTCGAATAATTGCGTTTTTATCGAGTGCCTTGTGTCGCTGCAAAAAAATATTACTGTCAGCTGAATATAAAGATCAAAACAATTATACAAGGAAAGAATATTGCGCATTGAGATTTGAGCTGCGGTGATATAAATTTGCTGATAATCTTTCGTGTTTTCTGTAAAATCATTTCCACTCGTGATTGTGCCGAACGATCGCACCGCATGGCCTGTCTGTGGATAGATATGTATACACTATATGGTTATAAATTATCTGTTCGAATGTACGAGGATAAAGATTGCTTTACCAAACATTAGCATACAAAGATGACAGGTGAATAGCAATATTTCAAATCTGGTTCCTCCTGATGGCGGCACATTTAACTCGCTGCAACACGTAAACGTATCTAGTAATGATAACGTTCAACAACGCGATATCGAATGACATGAGGAATAACCTCGAGCTAAAAAAGTACAAAATTTAGAATATATTTAGAGCGATATATACTAAAGCCGTTAACGACGCATAATATTCAGTGCATTGGAAAATATTGTTATAATGGCAAAATCCTTGTGATAAAGAAATACCAAACTTTTCTTTAGCTTAATATTTCTTAAGAATATTTTTTATAATATAATACCTGCTTAGAATATATTTTTTATGAAGCAGAAAATTTTTATATAGTTATGATTACATAAATCTTCATAATTTTAAAGTGCACGCATTTTAGAAATCATAAAAATATAAACCTATGCAAATTATCTAATCTATCAAATTATCGCATTTAAAAAAAACAATTCAAGTTTGATACGTTTATAAAAAGTGAATTTTCTTTTAAGGCGATAAAGAATTTTTTGTTAAACTAATGATTGTTTACTATTATGCGATAGACATTGCGATAAAGACATTTTCTTTTCATACTATAAAACAATTTATTGAAATATTTACTCATTATAAATGAATAACTTTAGGTTAAAAAAAATCTTTGTATTTTTTGTCTACACTAGTATTTAAGAGTACTATTTTTTGTAAATAATTTGTAAAAATATTTAATGAATAATTTATCCATTCGCTAATAGACATTCACTGCAGCTCTGAAAGCTTTTAAATCATTAAAATCTTTAAAACAAATTTTTATTTTATTTTTATTTTATTAAATTTTTATTTTATTAAAATTTTATTTTCCTAAACTGTGCGAATTTTTCCAAAAAATATCCAAATAAAATAATGTATAATTCGTGTACAGTTTTATGTCGGTATAAACATTATGTTGATATAAACGTTCTAGTACTACGTGTTTACGAAAAAAAAGAAAAATTTGTGAAAATTATTATAAAAATATTTATAAAACTTATAATTGTATATACATGAATATCAATTATTTGTATATAATACATTTTTTATATTAAACAGTAACATTCAAAAATTAAAATTGATAAAGAGAGGTAAATAATATTTTCATTTACTTTTAATTCCACATGGCTTTCATTTGCACTTCGACAAAATTTTCATTAACAATTCGAAATTAGTATTGTATTCTATCTGATATCGTGAATCGACAATGAAATGTCGGGTACAGGATTTAGCTGCGCAATCCTGTCAGCGTGTATTTATCGACGAGCATTTCGTAGCGTCCCATTGTCTCTCGATTCATCAAATGAAACCTCGCAGGTGATCGCTAAGCGAGTAACTATAAATCCCCTACGGGGAACGCGTCCAATGAC